ACTACTTTCATTAACAAAAGAGTTTATGCTTCAAAAATGCCAATAATTCTGTTACTTTATAGTGTCGCATCATTTAAAAGAAATGAAACGCAAGAAACTTTTCAAAATCGCTACGTTGCATAACTTTAGATCAAATCTACTTACTGAGGTGAAACCATTTGTAAACCATGTTTAATCCATCTTCAACTTTGCAGCGATACAACCCACGACTGGACTCTTTTACATGAAAAGTAACTTTACTGGGATTATCTTCAGAATTCCAATTCATGACGACATCATCCTTTGTCCACGTAACTGTTGGTGTTGGATAACCGTCATAATAACAAGAAAAGCTAACCTCCTCTCCAGATTTCTTACTGAATGTCTGATTTCCGGGGTTAGTGATCGCCGCTGGATCTTTAAATAAAAAACAAAACAACTAACATGGAAAATTTATGTTTTTTATTCTGTTTAACAGGCATACTCACCAAGTGGAACTCCAGGTGCACCAATCAATATGATGCATTATTGAAGAAGGTAGTTCATCCATGAAATTACATTGTATATCGTTAAAGTTAATTTTTACTTTACTGGAGTTAAAAAAGCTTTCGTGACAAATGCATTGTCATACCTAATGCAAAACTGATCTAAATTTAAATGCTCTTGTAACTTAACAGTAGAAACGTTTGAAATTTACAAAGTCGCAAACTCATGTCTCTGGAAGTAGGAGTTCCACAGATCTAGAATCTTCAAATGCAGAATTTATTCCCATGCTTTGAGGATCAATATTATTAGCTTGTGATAAATTCTCAAATCCGGTCACAATTTTGAAGGTTATATTATCAACAGTGACAGGACCGAGATAACTTTAGATCTGCCGACAAATTTAAAGAAAAAAAAAAGAACGAGACGGAGGACAGATATAACTGGACGATACATGACGACAGTCAAGTTCTTAATTAAGGCGCTGCAGAAGAGGCACTCGTGCATGTACTATGTAAACAAGAAGTTTACCACTTTCTCGAAATAGTATTTTAAGGCGTTGGCAATTTCAGCCTGGCAGTCATCGTCTCACACTTTAATTTGAGAGAATGGAGTGTAATTTATCAGAGTTCTTGCTTGGGAAAACATTTTCGAGCAGTTTTCCAGAATCGCTTTGGATTATCTATGTTCTCCTCTGAGAATTTTTTTTTGGTTACACAACTTTTCTTTTCCAAGCAAGACAAGCCTCATTAACATTTTGAAGCGTAATTAAGAAGTTCTTCCCACGGGGTATGTTCCAGATCGTCTCCGAGTAATGTGGGGTCTAAATTTGCATAGTTACAGTAGTAATAGTAATAGTAATCAAAGTCTAATGTCTTTTACGTGGAGAAAGGTTACCCATATTGCCCGAGCCAGAGGCTCATGTATGAAACGCAAGACAACGACCCACCCATCTCACCCCAGGGGAGGACATCCATCACACAGTAATCTCGTGCATGGGAAATTAACGTCTCCTATCCCTAACCCTGCAGGAGACGGGACCTCCATTTATTCGTCCCTATCCGAGAAGACTAGAATATCTAAACCATTTCTTGATGTTATAGAAAGGCAGCATATTCTTCTCAATTATTTTAAGACCTTGAGTGTTGGTCCGGCCGGGGCTCGAACCCTCGACCTCCCGCACATCAGTCCAGCGCTCTATCCATTGAGCTAACCGGGAGGCGGTTAAA